CATTTACTCCTATATTCCATGTTTCTTTCCTGCTTCTCCTTTGCTGAATTCTAGAATGCTTCCAGTCTTAAGGCTTTTCTGACAATCGACAATGGTTTCATGGTCATTGTTAGAGTCTTAATTCTTTATTGAATTCAAATTCCACCATCTGCTATGGTGGGATTCAAACCCAGGTCTTCAGAATATTATCTGGGTCTCTGGGTTAACAATCCAGCAATAATAACTCTAAGCTATTCATACTGTGAATGAATAGAAAATGTCTTAGTAATAATTACATTTACCCATTAAATGTATATTGAAGTCTGCCATGACTACTGTATGCACCTTTGATTTCCTCATTTATACCAAGCCCTATATTATCACTACTGTTTAGTTTGTTATGGATAACTTCCACAATGTTTGCTTCTCCTTGCTGCTTCTTAGCTCCTCCCAAGTTGAGTTTGTATCTTGATCTTTCAATCTGAGATCCAGTCTCACACTTACACTGATCTGAAGTAGAGAGGGAGACAACATCATGTTCCTAGGAGTGACAATCACCAGCAATCTGTCCTGGATCACTCACGTAGATGCGATGGTCAGGAAGGCACAACAACGCCTTTTCTTTCTCAGTAGGCTAATGAAATTCAGCATGTCCATAATGACCCTCACCAACTTCTACAGAAAGCATTCTAGCTGGTACATTACGGCTTGGTACAGCAACTGTTCTGTCCAGGGCCGTAAGAAACTACAGAGAGCTGTGAGCACAGCCCAGACCAGCACATATACCAGTCTCCCATCCATGGACTCCATCTATACTTCTCGTTGCTGTGGAAAGGCAGCCAAACATCATTAAAGATCTTCTCTTCCAACCTCTTCGATCAGGCAGAAGATACAAAAGCTTAGACACACGTACCAATAGGTTCAAGAATAGCTTCTTCCCCGCTATTACTAGATTCTAAATGGATCTATCCTTAATTACTTCAAATCTGTTTGTTATAAATAAACTTGTTCCTTAAACAGTAGTCAAAACTGTCATCCAGAATTAAAACTATTACCCCTTAATCCCAGACAAAATAAAAACTATACACACATGACAGAAACAGCCAACAAACTCTGGTATTTATAAAGCAAAAAGGGAAGGTTAAAACACTTGCTTTGAGCAACATGCTGTGAAGCAGAGTTTGACATATCCTCCCAGATGGTGTAATTCTTTTCATTAGAATTAGAATAAGAATAAGAATAGCCTTTATTGTCACATATACTCAATGAGTATAGTGAAAAGTTTATGCATCACCATACAGCGCCACTGAGGTACAAAGGAGCCTAGGTACAGCTTTTTTAGTTACAAGATCTTAGAAAATAGAGAAATAAAATGGCCAGTGTTGCAGAGATCAAAATTCAGAAGAACCATCTTCTAACTCAGACCATGCTGGCACTTAGCCTCCAGTACACCAGGCGTCACCTCGAGGATTGTGAGGCTGGGAGATCGCTTCAGACCACCATGCTGGGCCGAGAACACCCACCGGGAGGCCTCCCTGGGAGGCTGCTACAACAGGCCAGGAGGCTACTAGGTCACATCAGGAGGCTGCTACGGGAGGCTGGGAAATCACGCCGGGATGCCATTGCGCCAGGCTGGGAGATAACCACGCCGGGATGCCATTGCGCCAGGCTGGGAAATCACACTGGGAGGCCATTGCGCCAGGCTGGGAGATAACCATGCCGGAAGGTCATTGCGCCAGGCTGGGAGATAACCATACTGGGAGGCCATTGCGCCAGGCTGGGAGATAACCATACCGGGAGGCCATTGCGCCAGGCCGGGAGATAACCATGCCGGAAGGCCATTGCGCCAGGCCGGGAGATCGCCACGCCGGAAAGCCATTGCGCCAGGCCAGGAGATCGCTACACCGGAAAGCCATTGCGCCAGGCCGGGAGATCACCACTCGTCGGAAATCGTTGCCAGAGGCTAGAAGTGAAGAAGAAAAAAAATGACGAAAACAAAAAAGAAGAAAAGAAGAGAAAAGAACAGTTGGAGCATCCTACTTTGCTGCTATCTTGGACTGGAAGCCAAATCCAAACCAGATCTCTGACTGAGTGGAAATCCACCAACAGTGCCTTTCAAACCCACAATGTCTACCACCTAGAAGGATATGCAGAGCAAAAACATGGGAACGCCATCCCCTGCAAGTTCCCCTCCGAGCCACTCACTGTCCTGACTTGGAAATGTTTCGCCGTTCCTTCATTATTACTGTGTCAAAATCCTGGAATTCCCTCCGGAATGGCACAGTGTGGGTGTCCCTACACCTCATGGACTGCAGCGGTTCAAGAAGGCACCAACTCCTTCAGGGCAACCAGGGATGGATAACAAATGATGATTTAAACAATTATGCCCCTATCCCATGGATGAATATTAAAGAAATACACCTCTGGAGCAAGAGACTGGAATGATCTGGAAAGAATTATCAAAGAGCTGACACAGGAATAATGGGTTGAATGGCCTCCTTGTGTGCCACATCGCAAAGCTCCCTCAATGAAAACACTTCAGAAGTTATTTGTTGGTTGCAAAATGCTTCCAAAGCATAGGAACAGGGAAAATAGAAACATGATTAGGCCATTCAGCCCTTTGAGCCTGCTCTGCCATTCAATATGATTGCGGCTGATCATCCTACTCAGTTAGTCAGTTCTTGCTGTGGACTCATAGCCGTTGCCACATCCTGGGTCACCACAGTCAGGTGTTCACAGACTAAACAGTTCTACTCCTGGGCCCTTGATTTTTTTGGACCATTTCATAGGGTTGTAAAGATTCAAACACATTGCTCTGTGCCTGGAGTCACACAAAGACCAGACCAGCTCCAGCTGCAGGCCATGGAGGGGTTGCTAGTCCTGGATGATTGCCTCTCACTGTGTGGTTAATTCAGCACTTGCGGGGTATGGACACATGGCATACTGTGACATATTAGAGGCGTTCCACAACCACTGGGCATCACAGGGGCTGGTGGAAATGATCTTTTCCTGTAATAACATTGGAAGTTTCTTTTGAGGTTGAGATTTTTATCACAGTACCTCTTTACAGCCTGATACTTATTAATTTGGTTTAACTTCACTCACTGACCTGAAAACACAATAAAACTCCCTGCCCTCTCCTTGTTTCCTAGCACCCATGAAACTCTGATTTACAGTTCTGGTAATCTTATTTTTGTGAACTCTGAGACAATTGTGGTTGAGATAATATAAACGACCTCTGATTTCAGAATCGATTGGATCCTTACATAATGACCTGAATTTGGAAGAAATTGCAAAATAAGCATCCGATTCCACCTTGCAGCCAACAGCTGAGCATTGCATGACTAAACATTCACGGGCCAAGGTAGATAGGTTATATTTCTGAGACTAACGGTATCCAGCTTGCCATCCCATTTCTTGCTATCCCAGTTCTTTTCTGCAAGCAGGGTGTAGCTTCCAAATGCTACTGCTGCTGCATCTCAATCACAACCTCTAAGTGATGCAGTTCTGAGGAGATTTCCCAGTGAAGGGAAGAAGTCATTGATAGAAAGCTACAGAAAACAAGTTATGCATCAGAGAGAGAAATCGACTTGGAAATAGATATAGGTGGTGAGAGACAGAAATAGAAACAGAGGGAGGAATAAAGAAAGAGAGGGACAGAGGGATAGAGAATTAATGGGAAAGGGAGAGAGAGAAGCAAAACGAAACAGAGATAGAGGGGAGATGGATACAGAAAGTTCGAGAGAGACAGAGAGAAACACAAAGAGACTGGGAGATGGAGAGATAGAGACTTTGTAGGAAAGCCAGAGAGAAAGGACAGAAAGAAGAACAAAATAAGAAACAGAACAGGTGAGCGAGAGTGAGAAAGAGAGGCACACAGAAACAGAGATAGGACAGAGAGACGCAGGGCTAGACAGACAGACAGAAAGACTAAAGGTAACAGAGAAAATGAAAGAAGGACAGAGAGAGAGAGATGCACACAGAAACAGAGAAGGACAGAGAGATAAAGCGATAGAGAGAGAGATGGAAATAGAAAGACAAAGACAGCAAAATAAAAATGAAACAGTAAAAAGAAGGGAGAGAGAGTGAGACAGAGGGATAGAAATAGAGACAAGGAAAGAAACAGACACACAGAAACACAGAAGGACAGAGAGTCAGAGAGAGAAAGGCAGAGACCAAAAGATTAACATAAAAACAGAATACGTAGAAGGATAGAGAGAGAAGGATACACAGGGACAGGGAACCAAGGAAGTTAGAGAGAGAGAGAGAGAAAGATAGATGCAGAGAGAAGGATGGAGAGAGAATGGAGGATAATGAAAGAGATACCTGATTAGAGAGAAGAGAGAAAGAGAGAGATAGAGAGACGGAAAGACAGACAAAGGAGGAGACGAGGAAAACACACAGACAGAAATAGAGGGGAGAGAGAAAAAGAACACAGAGAAAGACAGGGACAGAAAGAAAAGGAGACACAGAAGAATGGAGAGTCAGAGAGAGAAAAGACAAATCAATAGAGAGAGAGAGGGAAACAGGAAAATCGAGCAAGAAACGTAGTGAGAGGGAGACAGAGAAAGACAGACAGAGGGATAGAGACAGAATGAGAGATGCAGAAAAGCAGCGAGAGAGTCTAATTGATGAATACAGACATGAATCAATGGGAATCCTAGAAATCTAAACTAGAAAAATAACAGGAAATGTTGTAAATACTGAACAGGTCTGACATTATATGCGGAGAGAGAAAACTACTTGATGCTTCCTGTGAAAGCTGACAGAGCTGAAGCTCCGTCTCTTCACAGACACTGTTACGAATATATCCAGCACTCGCCACAATTCCTTCAGATTTCCAGAGTTTTAACTAGGGGTTGGGATCGGTCCTTCTCCTCTCTGATCGCTCGTTGGTTGGAGAAAGGTGACTGACGGGGTCTGAAAAGTTCGTGGCAAAAGGTCAAAGAGTTGAAACGTTTAAGACTGCTTCTCTATTCTCTCGGTTATCTCCAGCATTTTTTTTTTGAATTGCAGACGCACAGAATTGGCAGTATTTCACTGTCGGAGCTACAAACGCAGCCCGTTTTGCAGAGAGGGACTTTTTACTGTCTGATATACTATGCCACAGAATGTGGATCTTTGTTCTTTGAGGGGTGGATTATAGCTATGAACACTTGGGAATGTGGGGATAATGTCCCTTGTTGGACATTTTCCCAGTTTTCTTCAGTTTAATTTATTTATGGATTTGCGTTGGATGTAATCTGACGTCAATATTTATAACACTTTGCCAGGAAGGTTCACACAGGAGAGAGTAGATTGACTTCATCTGAGTCAGCAAACCCTAAGTCAGCAACACAGAAACAAGTCAATTAACCCGACTTTACCAATCCAAGTCAACTAATTTCGGTCAACTCAACCGGGCCAGCAATATTGGGACCCGTCAACTAGCGAGGAGTCAATTAACCAGAGTCAACTAACCTGGGGCAACGGTGGGCCAGCAATCTGCTACTCTGAATCAGCCAGCTCCGCCGGGTCAGCAGGGGTACAGTCTACAGTCTGGATCATCGCATGGCTGGTCTATAATCTGAATCAGTACTGGGACAGTCTCTACTCCAAATCAGCGCTGGGGCAATCTCTAACCTGGATCAGCTCTGGGTCAGTCTATAATTCAAAACAGCTCTGGGACAATGTATAGTCTGGGTCTGCACTGGGACGGTCTATAATCCGGGTCTGCAGTGGGACGGTCTATAACCCGGGTCTGCACTGGGACGGTCTATAACCCAGGTCTGCAGTGGGACGGTCTATAACCCGGGTCTGCACTGGGACAGTCTATAACCCGGGTCTGCAGTGGGACAGTGCCCAGCCTGGCTCGGGGTTGCAGCCTCTGATTTACGGGAATGTCAGCGCTGGACGCTGCCGGCTTTGTGCTGGCCCTGCTGGGCTGGATCCTGATCGGAGTGTGCCTGGGGGTAGACCAGTGGAGGGTCTCCTCGCTGGACGGCAGTGTCATCACCACCTCCACCATCTACGAGAACCTGTGGAAAAGCTGCGCCAGCGACTCGACCGGAGTTTACAACTGTAGGGACTTCCTCAGCCTGTTCGGCCTCTCAGGTACATCCTAGCAGCTCTCTGAGATAGTATGTGTGGGCGTGTGTTTGAGTGAAAGAGCGAGAGGAAGGAAGAGGCGCAGGATGAGGAGGGTGATGAAGCTGCTCGGCTTCCGTGAGTCGCCAGTGCAAAGCAGAGTGACTAGTCCACTTGGTGTTGGCGCTGTCAGTTTGACACTGGGCACTTGGATCTGGACACTCTGCTGAGAAATTGTCCCCATCCTCCCTGTTTCACTCTCCTCATAGCCCTGTATCAGTCCCCAAACTAATCCCACTGCCCCGCTCTCT